GACGAAGTGTCTTCAGTCGGAGGCTTCTTCAACTTCGCTGTAATACAGACCGCTACAGAAGGTCTTTCCTGCCTGCAGCCATCAGCATCTACAATAATTCTTTAGTTAAATGAGTTACAACAACACCTAATTTCCCTCTGGGATCAATAAAGTATTTTTGAATTGAATTGAATTGAATTGTGAGGCACATCCAGGTGACAAGAGGACAGAGTTCAGTGTTCAGACACGTTTCTGTCTCCACCTGCTGCTGTGATGGAGCATCGTCAGAGAGCCCTTCTAATGAACTTCACTGGGGGAGAGGGGGATTGAAATTTGATTTTGCTTTGGAGATTTGAGGCAGGACGTCTGGCATGAACCAAAGTGTGAAAGAGCCACAGAGGTGCTCCGTGTCAGTGAACCTGACGTGCCACTTTTTAAAAGAACGAAGGTTTATGCTGGGGCTAAAGATAAAGGGCTTTGCCTCCTGACCTGTTTTACAGTAGATAACAATCCTAGCTATTCTTTTGCACAGTGTTGTGTGTTAAAGCCGTTTTATCTCTACTATTCATTTAAACAGGCTTTCAATCGATGCAGCGACAGCCAACTCTGAGACTCAGCAAAAAAAAGGGGAAGATTCAACTTTATAACAGATCTGCTTTACAGCAAACCACTTTTTATGACAATTGTACTTTACCTCATAAATGCTGCAATTATATAACAAAAGGTCAAACCATCTAACAGCACATATTTCTTGTATCTATCTTCCAATGTTATTTAAACAAAATTAATGTGATAAACAGCAGTGGTAAAAGAGACTTTATTCTTCTTTTCAGTTTTTGTTTAGGAGTGAATTTTGCTGCTACTCACCACATTTGGGATAAGCTGCCAGCATGATGTCATCCTCTCTGGCCTTGATGTTATCCAGGCACTTGAAATTCTCCTCAGGACACATGAGAGTGGGGTACAGCACCCCGTTAAATCTGTACAGCTTCTCCTCTTCAGTCATTGCTTTGGCCTTCTCTAACCTGGCCTGCATCCTGGCTTTGAASAYGTYGTCGCTCATCCTGGTGTTTGAYRGATCAGAAACTAGGGGCAAGAACTGAAAAGTTGCTGCAGCTCCAAGGATTCAAGAGAGATCAGAACACAAAACTGCCTTCTGCTGAGTTTCTGATTAAATAAACTAGAGAGACAGGAAGTGGGAGTGTTCAGTAGTACAAGGAGGAGGAGGAAACACAGAGCACCTCCTCTGAACATATGATTCATGGAGAAGTGACTGATGTAAAAGTATTTCAGAAAACTCAAAGTAAAATAAATGTGGAGATTTAAAAGCAGGTCATGAGGTCAGTGCCAGAGATGTCCACTCTCCGCTCCATAAGTCTGGAGGTGGTCTCTGATAAACTACACTCTGTTTGGTTGCAGACTCGGGGATGTGGGATTACCTCTGGTTGCAGAATTTTTTTTTTTAAATTTTTTATTCATTTCATTAAAACATACAACAAATAATATACACTCAACAAAAAAAAT